ACTTTTCTTTTATCCAATAAAGGAAAGGGTGAAAAGAAAACGAAAGACTTTTTGAGAATTTTCTTGAGTTCGGGGGGTAGGTTATGAAAAGGGAAGTTGTTAGCACCCTTTTCATCTGTAGTTATCTATGGGCTCTTAGTTGCTAGCTCACTTTGAAATGCTTTATTTTTAATGTTCTTGTGATTGTTTGGAAGTATTTTTGAAAAGTGCCTTTGTTTAGGCGAACTTTGTAACGATTCTCGTCTCTATAAGAATTTATACAAAGTGTTGACTTTTGAAAATATTTCATGAAAGAGTTGGTATATTTGAAATATGTTTTGAAATGTTGTGAGCAAGCAAATACGAGCGTTCTACCTACTTAAAAAGTATTTGTTCTTCTCTCCTCCTTTAGATATTGTTACATCACCATTGATTTGGAGGAAGCCCTATCATTGGATGTGAAGGGACGGGCGTACGTCATCGTGCAGTCATAGAAGGCAACATTATAAGATACCTTAGAAATTTATCTTAAGGGTCTAGGATCGTTTACCAAAGGCAACATCGAAGGGTCATCGAGGGACTACGATATTGTATTCGAGGGTCATTGCTAAAGTATCCCACATTCTTGGGACATGACTGTTTTATTTTAAGGCAACAAGTATGGGTTAACCCTAGAGGTGCAGGTGTGCTAAGTGTTTTAATTTCATGCATTTTTGTCTTGAATTAGGGTTGTCTAGTTGTTGATTTTATGTCTTTCCATGAAAATCCTAATTACTAGCATTTATATTAAAAGCGATAAATTGAGGAAATTTAAAATCCTATACTATTATATCATTTGGGGATGGGGATTCAAATTTACAAATGGGGGATGAAAGCAAATAAACTCTAATTTACTATTACAACCATATTCAATATGAACAAATAATGTACAAGAATGTATAGTAATATACAAGGAAAAAGAGATTGTTTTTGTTTGAATTTTTTGAAAGGGTTTTAATTATAATTAAGCTAAAGAAATAAGTAATTATTTCAAATAAACTAACCTAAATTAATTTAGAAAATAAAACAAGTTCTTAGGGTTTTATAAAAAATTTGTAACCCAGTTATACTTAATAAAAATAGATTAATTAAAAATCATAAATTCTAAGTTAATTAATATACAAATAAAATTAAAATAAATCTAAGCCTAAATTGATTTAACTAGGAAAAAGAAATTAATTTCATTAAAAAAATATTTTTGGTCTTTTGTTTAAAAGAATTAAAAATAAACCTAAAATATCTAAATAATAAATATAATATGTTTTTGGTATTTTTTATTAATAAAATAATAATAATAATAATAATAATAATAATAATAATAATAATAATAATAATAATAAAAATAATAAAGAAAAAGAAAAGAAAATAAAAATATAAAATTAAAGTCAGGAAACGCAAAAAAATCCGCACTACGTTCCGTCAAAAAGCAAGCCCCATCTTCTATTCTTATCATTTGTTCACTTATTTCACTTACTTTCAAAAAGCGGTACTGGCACTAGTCAATCATCGTGCCTTTAGCCAATGATGGATTTACAATCACCGCGGTTTTTCGGAGAATACCACTTTAGCGGCGACTAAAACTAAAGCGTATGGCCTTGTGGAGGTTTCTAAGGATCGTTAATCCCAATGGACAAACCTTGGATCCCATTAGCGCGGGCGCCGGTAATACTCTATCTTAGAGCTCATAAAGGTGTTGGGAGCATTTTAGTAAAGCGCGTTCAAATAGCATGAGCTTTTGATACTTATGAGATCGATGATGTATTGAAATTCGTCTTTCATTGTTGTTCTTTTGACGGTGTAATAATGCGATGTACCTCCTTATATTTATATAGGACTTTCGATCTACCTTGGCGAACTGTCGTCGAGAAAGGACAACAAGGACTTTCCCCTATGTTACGTTTTGTCAACATATACTATTTTTATGGGCGGTGCCGCGATTACTAGTGATTCCCCATGCTAGAGCGCGCCTACATCCAATAGGTACTCAATTCTATTTTAGGGCAATAAAGAACTTAGAGCAAGATAATTATATATCCGATATGTACCTTCCTTCCATCCGGGAGTACCCGTTTATCAGTGATCTCTTGGAAACCAACATAGTCCAGTGTACCAAATAGTGGTCGGATCCTAGATTTAAAAGAGTCATTCTCCCTGATCGGGCGGGAGTAAGAAGAAGAAGGAGCACTTTAATCTTCCCTTCCGGGCTTACAAGACGAGACCTAGATGGTATGTTATAGGATATTCGAAAAAAAGCAAGTAGGACAAAATGACTGAGGTAAAATGGCACGCGGTAGTCATTCAAACAAAAGACGCTGAGGAACCTCCATCGAGCCACGTGATCCGCTACAACTCACACAAACAAAGACTAGGTTCGGCTTCTCAAAAGAAAAGGGGGGGAGAAAAGAGGACAGGGGCGCTCCCCGCTAACCGAAGTCTTGGATTTTTCTTTCTCGGAACCTTCCCTTACCTTTTATTCTCTTTAAATATTTCGTATTAGTGCAAGGGGGCCTTCTTTCTTGAAGTTGTAATGGCACAAGAGGACGATTCTAGGCTTCAGATAAGCAAACAAACCTGTGCTCCCTTTTTCCAGTTGTAGCAACTCAAGTCCGTAAGCGGGTTCAACGGAAAATCCAAGGTTTTCTCGAATCAATAAAAAGATAATAATAAGGTCAAATCTAGCTATTCCACCTTTCGCTGCTAGTTAGTGGTCTGGTGGTAATGAAATTATAAATTCGTCCTTGCTCCCACCGAACCTCTTCTTAGAGCCTTTCCTTGCCCAAGCAAGGGCTATGCTATAAGAAGAGAAGGAAAGGCTTGGTTTAGGGAACCGGCCCCCCCAGTCGCTAAAGTAGTTCATCGTTTAGAGCCGCCCAATATTAGTTCTACAACCCCCAGTTAAAGACCGAGAAAGCCTTCACTAAAGCATAACTAAACCCAAACTTGGATGACATTATATTTTTGGGGTGGGGTTCTCCTGAAAAAAGGAAGTTATTTCATGGACAGACCATCTAATAAGGGCAACTGCGACGACGAAACCCCTTGCTTTAGCTTATCTAAAAGCTTGGGGCGTGTAGCTCTCCGTACAAGTAAGAAAGTTAGTGCCGTGTAGCCCTAGGCGAAGAAAAAGAAAGAATAAGGAGTGAGAACCAAGGAACTCCAGAGAGGTTGGTTACGAAGCTGGTCAAAAAGCTAGTACATCATCTCCACCTGGAATTGGAAAGTGCTAAATAACTCTTTTATTAGCAGCAACTATAACTTTATTTGCTTATTCAGTAAGGAGGGAAGCATCTGCCTTTGAATGGAATCTAGCTAGGGCAAAAGGTATACCTCGACCTGGGGTGGGGGCAGAACAAAGAAAATCGCAAAGAAAGAAGGGACAATCTATCTGAATTAGAGATTGCACAGGCTTTCTTGAATTAATTACTTTCCGCGGATCTATTCGTAAAGCTTTATATCTTCGCTTTGGGCTTATAGAGCCTAACGGAATAACTTTCTTTGGTATTGGGTAGGTGGATTGGAAGAAGAGCAAGGTCATTGGTTTTCTAAATAGAAATGGAGATGGTTCTTCTGGGTTCAAATCCCCGTCTTTGAATTGGCTTGATATGTATTGGCCACATCCTCCATTGGTAAGCATCACTAACTAAGAGTTGAGTTGCATCTTTGCTTCTCTTTCTTTCCTGGTCTTTTCGGAGGGTAAAGGTGAACTCGGATGGGTGCGCCAAGGGGTGAGGCTGGATAAAATCATTAGAGATGCCCGTGGGCTTGTGACTTGGGAATCTGTAGTCGTCTTAGGCGGTCCGGTACCTTCGTGGTACTAACATGGTCTACAAAACCTAAGTGAGTTTGCATCCAGTCATGGATGGATGACAATCATGCATCTCACACCTTAGGTCATACCAAGGTGCCCTATCTATATAGGGTTCCCACGCAATGATGGGTTGGTGTCGAAGACCAATCTTGTGAAAGACGCAGAGGGCTAATTCCTTCTCGTCGCTCAATCTGGAGTAAGAAGCCGGATACCAGCACGAGTGTACACATCTTGGGATGGTACATCTTGTGACCACCAGCATTGCAGGGCACTGAATGATAGTTTTTATTCTCCATCCTGAAGCCTTGGCTTCGCACCCTAACGGGCTTATGGGTACTGGTGGGAAGAGGGCGTAAGCAAAGTGATTATGAATCGTTTTGCCTCCTTCCCTGATTCGTCTTTCGCCATTACGACAGTTCTTTGAAGACTTCTCTCGACTCCTAATCTAAAGCTAGTGGAAGTAGTCCTTTTTAAGCTATTTATGGCCAAAATCCCGAGAGTCCTCTGGACTTAGCTCCACTTCCAGCTACTCACAACTTTAGTGGAGATGCGGTTGAAGAAAATTTATAAGTTGCATGAGCGAGAAAATTTCTAACTAAGCAAAATGAGAAGTATCAAGCTCAAGCTAACAAGAATCACAAGTTTTCTGAGTTCAAAGAAGGTGATCTGGTGTAGGTTCATCTTCGAAAGGAGCGTTTCCCGCGAGGACAATTTGCTAAGCTCAAGCCTAGAGCTGATGGACCATTCAAAGTTCTCAAACGCATTGGTGAAAATTCCTACAAGATTGAACTACCAGCTGAGTATGAGGTTTCAGAAACATTGAAAGTTTCTGATCTTTTTCCTTATTATGGTGAAGAAAGCACTAACGACTCGGGGGCGAGTCTTCTTCAACTTGACGGGGAAAACTAGAAATAAAGGAAGTAGTTTTGGCTGGGTAAATTTCTTTAGAAATGTTATAAATAAAAGAGAGGGGCTTTCTTTCTTCAGCATGTGAGGGAAATGCCCCTGGTACCGAAGTTAGCGGATAGAGAGGGCGGCGGGTGGAGGGAGCTTCACTTACCGAGAGGGATGTTATTCGAACGACAGAATGGACAGGCACGGACAGAATGAATCACCCGACTGGAGCATAAATGCATTATTAGAATCAGAAAAGTAAGAATACGATCTTGTCGCAATGGAATCTGTAACTGCAGCTATTGAGTCTGCTGTGGGCCTAGAAGAGAGCTTTCACTGGCTTTTTATTAGGATGGATGTAGATATAAGTCATCTCTTGTCCAGGGCATTGGCAGAGCAGCTTCCACTCCTCCCTTCGATAAGCTTCCTTTTTTGGGCACTGGACCTAGTTACCGCTCCATGGGAACATCTATAGATTCCGCTATCGGGAAAGTAAGGCATGGAATCACGCTAAGGTAAGGTTTCTATCTAATCCATCTAGAATAGGATCTACTCTATCTATTTAATTTTCCACTTCTGCCTGGCTGACTGAATAAACAAAAGGAACCATAGCTAATACTGATCGATGAGCCTTCTCTCTCCTTGATCTGTCTAGTTCTATTTTGACTAATCCGAATCTGTGGACTGAGTGAGTAGCTAACTAAAATATAATATTTGAGGATATAGGAGTGGGGCTATTCCTCGCACCGATAAAATCATTAGTAAATCTCGTTATCTCCACGGGTTAAGGGCAGAATCAGACCTTGGGGAACCGGTACGAAAGGGAGCTAGCTAAGGCAGCAAGCCAAGAAAGGAAGCATAGTAGGCCTTTTAGAAAGGAAGCCAACTCTTGTTCGACGTAGGGTAGAGTAACTTATTTCATTCCTGGGGTTTTCCATCCGGGCTTTAATGCGGCTAGAGACGGAGACTTTCCCAGTGAAAGCGCTGGCGTTCAGTTTGGTTGCGTGCTTTCCGATCTCTTTCCCTTCCTTTCTGTGGTAGCATGTTTGCTAGTCTTGTCGGACTAGGAGCTCTACTAGGCTTGACCGTGGTAAATTTACTTATTCTTGCTCAAGTCAAGTGGAATCAGTTTCATTTGGCTCTAGACTACGATTCAATAGAGAACGATTTGGCACATCTTCGATTTCCTGGTATGAAAGCTTGGTTTTATTTGAGTTCAAGATATTCGGGTCTTTGCTTTTGCTCTTTGTGATCCTTGTCTTTAGCTTGGGACTTAGCTTGGCACCAGGGCGGCTTGCTCATCGTGCTTATGGCTTGGCCAATTGACATTGTCTTTGATCGAGTGCTCTTATTTCACAACGATAGGTGGGTTACCCTTTCTTTGAACCTTGTCAATGATCGAACTTAAAACAACGGGCGGCCTACCCGACAGCTATCAATCATGAACTAGCAGGATGGACTGCCTTTGAAGCCGGTATTGTTTATATAAATTAGACTTTAGAATAACAACTCGCTATCCGTGCTTCCTTTCTATCACTACTAAAATTCTTTACTTACTCCCTTGCTATAGCCTGCCTTACTTGATAGCTTCGCTTGTTTACAGGTACAGGATAGGTCGCTAAGCTCCCTCTTCATATCTGTGGGGCCAGGCCAATAGTAGTACTTTTTCGCTTATTCTTTCTGGGCGAGGGCACCCCCTTTCAAGTCTCAAGGTTTGGAACCAACTCTACTAGGTTGAGGAACCCACAGGCAGTATAATGTTACCCCACCTTCCGTAGGCATTTTCGGGGAGTAGCCTGCTTAAGCATACACTTGTATTGGGCTGCGGAGGATCCCGAATCCCGGGGATCCCGAGGCGGCTCCCGCTCCAAAATAAGACCATCACTGGAAAAGAAATAACAAATAATACAACACCCTCACGATTCAAAAAATGAATATTCGTCAAGGTCGGCATCCCGGATTCCCTTGTTCCGGATATCGGCAAAGATCAAATCAGCCTCACGTAAAATGGCATTGTTATTGGGGTTTTCCGCAATAACTTGCAAGATGTGAAGTAGGCCTTCTTTACTATTTAATCTATCTTTCGCAACGAGCTCAAAGACCCGCCGCGCCTTGTTGTGGGACGGCATCGGTCCCCCATCAGGTGTCCCCATGCTATGGACATACGTCAGAATGACACGGTGAAGAGCCCAATACCCGTTAGGTAGGTTTGGACTCTCATGGCGGTCATCTGTGTACACTGGGGGCTGTTGCGCCGGTGGATTCGCTACAGGTGGTGCTTGTTGGCCGACAATCATAGGGTAAGCGGAGAAAGTTTACATGTTGGCCCAGGCTAGTTTGCTTCGATGGTAGGAGTCCACGCAGTGAGGCAGCTATTTCCAGTGACCTTTTTGGGGGTTGGTTCTATACGAGGCAATCGAATATGGTCCCTGTCTGTCATCTAATCCAATAGGCATTTAGGGATCCCCGATTGTAGATTGTAGTGAGCTTTTGGTAGTCCTATGCCTGTCTCTCCAGCTTGTCTATGTCTATGGGTTTGCATATGTGTTTTCAAGGGCTGGCTTTTTATAATGACCTTAAATGAAAGCGCAAGAGCTAATGATAAGGAGCTAAAGGCCTACATTCTAGTATACCAGGATCGTCACGAGAGGATTGGGGAAGGTCTAACTATGGACCGGACCATAAGACGCAATTTCTTATGGCCTAGTATAGGATATCTTTCTGTTCCGCTGAAAAGAGATAAGCACTAAGAAGACGACTATTTTGTGTTGAATATGCTTTCTTCCACATAGGCTAGCTTCCTCCTTGTGGCGAACAAGACTGAGAATTCTTTATTCTATTTAGATATATATATCTATTATAATATAAGAATACGAGTCACGCTCTCTCTTTTTTCGCCCTTCTTCCCGCTATACTTATCTCTTTTGGACCTTGTCACAGCCTAAAAACCCCATCTTATTTTTATGATTCGGATTAGTTCAAATAGCCTTGATAAAGACCAAGACCCAGGGCATAGGATGGAATGATTTTCCTCACCAAAGCCTTCGATCATCATGGAATCACGCACATTGAGAGATGAGTGATCCACGCGAACTAGCCAAGTGCAAAGTCTTAGCGCGGGGACCCCTCCACAGCTAGGTTATTTATTTCCTATACCAAAGCTTTTCGGCTGGGCTGGGCCTATTGCGAGCCCACGTCAGGTTTTCCAATGACTTTGCTTTACCTTGTCCTCTAGTTGGTTGGCCGAATCATCTCTTCCACCGTAGTGGGAATGCTTTTGTCTAGCTGTTATAAACATATGAAAGACCGGCCCAGTTCGTATCAGGGCTTCTGTTTGTGGAAGCATGTAATCTTACAAAAATAAATAACCTGTAGCTACGGCCGTCCCTGAACTTTTGCGGCATTGCCCATGGCATGGGCATGAGCACAGCACCTATGTATGGGTAATACCTCCCTATATTCTTTGCAAGAGGCCATTCCCTCACAGTCGATGCTCCTTCTTGCTACAAAGGCACCCTTGAAACTTGGAAGATTTATTCTAGTAAGATGGCAGGAAAAGTCTAGCAGGGGCAAGCCTAAACCTCTACTTCCACCGTCGCAGCCTATAACTCTAAAGCTAGACTATAGTATATCTAAAGTGCGCTTTTGGCTTATTTATCGTTTTAGTTGAAAATGTCACTTGCACAACTCTTCATAACAGCCCCTTCTATGCCTAGTGCTTTTGCAAATGGGCAATTTATGGGCATCTGAGAACAAGCCCTTAATTTTATTCTTCAATTGCGCAAACCAAGACACCTACTCTTTTTATGTTTTCTGAACAGCGCAAATTATTGAGATGCTAAAGAGGGATTGGACTGGCCAAAAGGATAAGGTACATCCTGTTGATGTTGAGCATTCTATTCTTATTGCTCACTCAAGATATACTGACTTGTTTTCATGGAGCGAAGAATGCTTTCTTTCTCGCTTACTCGAGAGCTAACCTAGAATAAAGAGTCTTTGACACAACGTCAATATGGCTTAAAGAAGGTCGCTATGCCTCGAAGAGTTATATCGTAGCGCTTTCAAAAAGATCTTTTTATCCTTATCCTATGTAAGCTAAAAGGATATATTCTTAGGTAGTGACTCAATAGCTCTCCCCTCTAGTTTTCCCCCAATCCTCTCCTGCTCATAATAGGGCTTTCAAGGGCTATGTCATCTAGAAAAACGGATCCATTAGCATTAGTTTCCTTCTTTTTTTTTTATTTTTTGGTTGGAGCCTATCTTATATTCTTTCTTATGCCTTTGCAGTGCCTGAACGTTTTGTTTTGGTAAGGGACACGAGTGAACAAAGGAGAGGTTAAACCGCTTACTAGCGGCGAAAGAGCTTCTATATCAAAGTTCCACATCTTTGTGACAAAGACGATGCTAGTCTTTTCGACGAATTACCTGTTGGAGGAATACTATAGGGACTTTTCTCTCGAGAGATGGGGCATATCCGCTCTTAGCAGCATTCCTCCTCAGATGGACAGAGCAGAGCCTTATTAGTGATCAGTCCGCTAGTTTCCTGGATCCCACTCGGTCTTCCTTTTCCCTTTGCTCCCTGGATAAGTCTCATTTGATGTCGCAACCGATGCTTAAAACATATTATTTATTCTATCTTCTCAGTCTTCGATCGATCATTCTCTGCTTCATAGAGGAGGGGTTTCCCAGCTAACAAGGAAGCGGGATTTAAAATAGAGGTAAATTCTAAACTGGACCGAGGTGGCCTATACACCAATTGACCGACACCATTCCTGAAGAAACCAAGATCGTTGCAAGAAGACCCCCCCCCCCCCCCCCCCCCCGTGTAAATGGCAGAAATTTGACAGCAGTAGAACGAACCTTGGGCTTGACATGACAGCACCTCGCGACTCCCTTTCAAGATGAACAATGTGCCTAAGCGGGGCGGATGTGCCGATGGATGGAGGCGGTTGCATGCTGCATCTAAGAGTTTAGTTCCATGAGACTGAATAACATGGCCTGAAACGAAGTAAACTCACTTTGCTTAACACAGGGCAGCAGAGCAGGGCTTCTTTCTCACCCTCACCCTTCATCCAACATGGTTCGCACCAGCGTTATTTGACTCGCTTAGTCCATCGCTGCTTGGCTCTACTTCAACCACTACAAACGGTTCCCTTGCAGCTAAAAGAATGCGATAGAACACCTTTTCTTACATCAGGAGATGAAAGCCGTCAAGCAGGCAACAAAGTCGACTATTCGTCTTCACTTCCTCAAAAGTGCTAAAAAGAGCCCCTGAGTGCAGACCCATCCCCAAGGGACTAAACGCATTAAGTTATCTTTCAAAGAGCTTATTCGAGAACAACCTATTCTAAAAGCAACCTATTTTAATTTGAAAACAGCTTCTTTTAGGGATGACTATTCTACAGCGGTAATTGCAAACAGAAAGGGAGCACCGCTTACTCAAGCACTAGTACCGTCTAAGCATCCCACAACTGATGATTTATTTCCTTCAAACCTTCCACCAGGAGGATGCTACTTCTCTTTTCTATTCTTTTACAGATTACTTGCCCCAGGAATGCTTGCTGTCAGCAGTTAAGGGACAGAGGGAAGGTGACGAAGGTAATCCTACTACGGCACTAAGACTCATTCAGTCTATTTGGCGACTATTCCCACTGCACAGCTACTGCTGTAAGGAAGGAATTCGGTTTAAAGCTTGTTTTGTTGTGGGGAATCTGGTTTGAAATTTATTACACTCGTTCTCTCCCTCTTTCCTGTGCTAGCAATCCGGTAATTCGGTAAAGAAGTAAAGCAGGAAGTCCAGTAAGCCAAGGAGAGATCCCGGGAAAGCCAAAGTTGTGCTTTCCTTACTTCTTCTTATACCCTTGCAGGGAAAACAAAATAATACATACCAATGCCTTATCTCGGCATTAGGAGTTCATTAAAAAGGTAAGAAGGAATGGCCGGATGTAAAGAGATGTCCCTGAGACTAGTTAAATCATAGAAGAAGGTAAAAGAGTAAGACTAGCAATTCGGGATAGAAGGACTAATTTACTTATATTTAGCCCTAGAGGAGATCGAGACTGGTATTAGTTACTTTACCGAGGCGAGGAGGGGAAGATAATGACATTGATAAAAAAACCTCTTCGTAAAGAAAGACCAGACTTAGAGCTTAGAGACGAATGCACCAAAGAAAGGTAAAGGTCAGACTCCTAATTCTAAGCAGCCTCCGATTCTTGCAACTCTCACATGAATTTACTTTTTTTTCGCTTTCACTAAGGGACAGAGGCTGTCTTTACAGCACAGTAGGGAGATAAAATTCATGTACTAGAGAGGAAAGCAAGCCAAGAGCTCTGACTTGAGGCGAAGAAACTAAGCTCACTTTCCGCGCCAAAGAGAATCCACTCGTTTATCTAGTAGGGAGAGAGAGACAGTCAGGGTTGACTTGAGTGAGTGCCCAGGATTTACCCAGGTGGGGCATCCTGGAATCTGACTTCGGAGTTTCGGTTGAATTGAAAAACCCCGCTATAATAATTTAAATGTCTCTTCTTGTTTGTTTTCATCGGCTAAGGGGCTCTTATTATTAACCAGAACAAGACTTGGCTTATACATTTTGCGAAGGAAAAATAAAGCTAGATTTTCTAGGGCCAAAAGGGGGAGTACCATGTAGTCAAGAAGATGATCGATACCTAAAGCATGTCTACTTAAGATCTCTATCCTTTTTGGTGATCAAGATATCCCAAGAAGAGAGACTTGACGGCGCGCCTTTACTAGAAGAGAAGGAAAGAAGACACTTACTAGAAATCTATTCCACTACCGCTTTCTTTCTCTCTGTCCACAGCCATGACTCACCCACCTTTCCATCCCCCCTCAAAGATCCACCCGATCGATGAAGACTTGAACCGAACTCGCAGTGATCAAATCGACTTTGGAGAGTAAATCCATCCTCGGGGCAAGCCAAAGGAAGGACGGGATAGAGCTCCAAGACAGGCTGAAGGCAGAGAAGGATAGACGAGACAAGGAAGCAAAGGAGAAAATAAAGATCAGAATAGAATAGAGGTAACGGTTGAACGAACGGTAGACCCAACTCTGTATACTTAGCCGAAAGCAGGGAATTCCACCGATTCCACTTAGGGAGAAAGCCTTTCCCGTATCTATTTGAACCCGATCTTAAAATTTCTATCCGGTAGACTTGGTAAGGTAAAAGGGCCCCGACTTATTTTATTTCTAGAATTAGAGTTCGACCGCAGTTGCCCCTTTTTTGTTTTGGGGGGATCAAGTTCCTTGCCAACTATCGACCCCGATCTCTTTTCATTTATTTGGGGTATTACTAGCCTAGCCTTCGTCAATCACACTAAAGCAGAGTACCCAACTACGGCAAGGCCCCCTTAATTAAGGGTTAGGTTAGTAAATCCGGCCCGAGACGCGTTCGTTGACAAAACCGCCGTAGGAATGGAGACCTTTCAATAGAGCGGAGGCGAACTGATCAACGAGAAAGAGGCCCTACTCACTACAAACGAATACACCACAAGATCGAACTGCACTCATGCCTCTTCCGCATCAAGTTGACCGACCCCCTAAGTAGTTCTTCTATCAATCATGTACGTAGGTAGGGTCCCCCATTCTGATTGGTATATCATGAAAAATAAAAGCCATTTGCACCAGGCGCACTGCGTTTTCCCTTGCCTAGATGTTCGCCTTTCTAAGTCAAGTAATGGTGACCCGCCGAAGACTGGAGCCTCATAACATGTTGACGAAGACCCCCGAACTGAGGGTTTAATCAGTAGAAGGGACGACTTAGCCT